TTTTTTTTTTTTTTTTTTTTTTTTTTTTTTTTTTTTTTTTTTTTTTTTTGGGTCCGTGTTCGGCCCGAACGCATCCCCAAGGGGTCCCATACGTTCGGGCGTTCGGCCCGTCCCGAACGCCGGTTACCCTGTGCACAACATTATAAGGGGACGATTTTATTCATGTTAAAAACAAAGTGTCATCTAACTCACAATGGTATGTCGAGAATTGTGCACAGAACTCTGACAAATGTTTGCAGATCGACATCCAGGTCAGCTGTTGGGAGTTGAATCCTCGCAAGCAGCTCCTCGATTTCGGGTGGCCATTCCTGCACCACGCCAATATTGTAATGTGACCCAAAAATCAAATAAGTAGTTCGTCAAAAATTTCAGAAAAAAAAAAGAAGAAAAAAAGGAAAGAGGAAAGATATATGCTGAGAAAAAAATATTAAAATAATAATAAAATAAATTACAAAGGAGGGATGGTGATTAATCTCGAAAATTAGTCGTGGTCCAAATCGGATGTGACCCGATGATCTAATCAGTTGTCTTCATGATGGATGAGGAGGGATTATTAATGTGAGGGGTAACCACTTATATTATATAATAATAACATGCCATGCATGTACGGTTCGGGCAACTTCCAATGTTCGCTTCCTGGTTGGGAAGGATGAACCTCAGTAAGTAGAACGCAATCTTGTCATTTCTGCATACTTTCACAATTGCGACAATTTGAGGCTTGTGAAATGAGCCAAGTACTCGTCAAGTTCAACCTTGCATATGCATCAAGGAACAGGTTCAACCAAGGGCTGGCTATTCCCAGTGATCCCCTTTCACGACGAGCTCGAGTCTTCGCAGCGAGTTCTTCACTACGAGTATCTTCAACGGCGTTGAATAAGTTGTGTCCGTGTCGTTGTGGACTTCTTACACATGAGAGCTCACACGTGAGAAGCCAAATCGAGATACAAAGCAACACTTGAAGATGTTGTCTCTGATATTATTATGAATATACAGAATGTTAGCCTCCAGCGGCTCTGCCACACACACGCACACAACGGATCTCAATCAGGTGGGGGCTATGGCTTCTCTCTCTCTCTCTCTCTCTCTCTCACACACACACACACACACACACACACACACACACCTAGATCGTCACCCTGGATACATCCACCCCGGTAAGCTCACACCTTGGCGGCTATGGCGGCCGTCCTCCTGCTCTTCCCCTAACCTAGCTATGGAGTAACTTGCAAGCGCGGTCTTGGCGCGCAGTGCCCAAGTTGCCTTCACACAGAAGCGGCAGCAGCGCTTCCACATCTGGCAACTGAAAAAGTGATGAGCCGCTGTACTCTAGCAACTAAATATAGGACTTTGCTTGGCTTGGCTTGGCCTGCTTCAGACCGGTCGGCCGCGGCCTGTCTGCTGCAAACATTTTGTGGGTCTGGAAGCTTCTGGACTCTCCTGGGACAAAAAAGACTTTTTTGTAAGGGGTGAAATATTATTCCAACCAAACCACTGTTACAGAACCTCGAGGTGCTCAACTTTTTCCTGTACCGATAATTTTCAACAAAAGAGTATGCTTGCCTGCCTTGGCCGAAAAGTTGATCATCTCCTCGTTGTTATCATGGCAGGAATGCGGAAGATGGTGTGTGTGTGTGTGTGTGTGTGTGTGTGTGTGTGTGTGTGTGTGTGTGTGTGTGTGAGAGAGAGAGAGAGAGAGAGAGCATTACCTTGTGTATCTTTTTTTTTTTCCGGTAACCCGTCATTGGATGGAAAATGAAGAAGGTGTCCATGGGGAATCTGGGACTGGAGGAGTATTGTCAGACCTTGTTGAGAGATAATCAGACATATAATGATGTTCCTGTTGATGTACTGATTGCCTTTGCAGTGGTCCCGTTTGAACGGTGAAGAAGTGGATTCCCGTCCCGTGTTAAAAGAAATAAGAGAAAATAAACCAGGCATCAGCTCCACCTGGGGGAATGCTGTGGCCTTTATTCCATATGATATATAATGAAGTTAAATTAACAAGTAAATTGAAGTAGATACATAGATGTGTAGAGTGGATTGGGTGGAAAGCGTCTGTAGGCGGCTGTGTTTCAGTCTGAGAGTGGAAATGGATGAATGAACAAACCTGATGACTGAAACAAATGAGTCTCACTTGTTCACTCACCAAATTGAAAGAGTGAGTGAGCGAGGGGAGCAGTGGACAAAATGAAAACCATGTGGGAGAGCGACTGACTTCTGCTTCGCTCAGCTCACTTGTCCACTCGGCAATGAGTGAGTGAGTGACTCAGGGAGGGAGGGAGGGAGGGAGGGAGTAAGGGCCTCGGTGCACTACTCTCGAAATGTGCAAAATGAGAGTGAATATTTCGCTAGAATATGGACAGATACACGACCATGATTTTTGTCTTTTGTGCATTTCAAGAGTAGTGCAGCGAGGCCCTAAGTGATGGGACATGTGGACAAAATGAAAACCATGTGGGAAACCAACTCGCTCCTGCTTCGTTCATCTCGCTCTCGCTCATTCACTCGCCACTGAGTGAGTGAGTGGGTGGATGGGTGGGTGGGATGGCGGGTGAGTGGGTGAGTGAGTGGGTGAGTGGGTGAGTGGGTGAGTGAGTGGGTGCGTGGGTCGGCAGGCAGGCGGGCGGGTGAGTGGGTGGGTGAGTCAGGGAGTGAGTGGGTGGGTCAGTGGGTGGGTGTGTGAGTGGGTGGTGAGTGAGTGAGCGAGTGAGTGAATGGACAGGTGGACAAAATCAGAACCATGTGGGAGACTAACTGACTTCTGCTGCTTGTCTGAAATTCATACCTGCATGAGCTTCTCAATGTCAGGCATAGCCTTACTGTAATTGACCTGTGGAGGGGGCTTTGACTTGTGCAGATCGTTGATGCTACTGATCCAGCTTGTTATCCTTTTCGGGTTCTTTGCGGCATTGTCGATGCTTGTGACCTGGACATACCAAGGGGGAGGAGAGTAGCCAGAAAGAAAAAGAAACACATGAACAAACGAAACAAAAACAAAAAAAACAATTAGAAACATGATATGCGGACGTGGCAGATTTCAAAGTCAGCCCAAATGGGCGCAAAAAACTTGCGCGGGTGAAACAAACAAGCTGCCTTACTAAAATGGGCATGCCTTACTAAAATGGGCATGCAACAGGCGAGAGGGAAAAGAAAACGATTTGAGGGTGCATATGGGCCGCCACTCTCGAGTGAGAACGACAAAAATGTGGCGCGTGCATATGGCCATGTTCTAGCCGGAAGTTCATTCTAATTTTGTGTATTTTGAGAGTGGTGTGGCAATACCCTGATGCGTCTTGCGTGAACAGGCATCTTTTGTGATTTTCAAAACTGATTCTTTCGTGTCTAGATACATCCGTAGCTGAACGGAACCGTCTTCGAGTCTCCAGAGGCCGAGGATAGGGTATTGTCATCAGAACACTTGCCAACATGTAGGGAGCCACACACCAACAGTTGGGGAATGCTGCCATACTGCTGTATCGGCCCAGAGGACCGTTCATGTGGGCATGGGATGCGCTATGGGGTGGGCCAAGATGATTTCGTGTACCGAGTGGATGGCCAAGATGATTTCGTGTACTGAGTGGATGAGGCAGAAGGGCGATGCTGGGGTGGGCGCTTGGTTACTCTAATGATGTACTTTGCGCATTGTGTCCTCGAGAAGAGTAAACCCTCACATGATCTGCTCTTTGTCCTTAAACATGAATGAAGTGTGCTTTCTTTTTTCCTCTTCTCCTTCTTCTCCTTCATCTTGCGAGTATGTGTGACACTTTGGCATCGCATTTGATGAAAAATGCTATTAAGTCCAAAAAACTTTTGATCCTGAATTTCCTGAGAACAAGGCTACACACTGAGCTCGCCCTTCACTAACCATTTTGTGTTTTTACTACTTTGTGCAATGCTTTATGAGGCCCAGTAGAAGAGGGCAATTCACAGATAGCATGTGCGTGTGTGTTTGTGTGTGTGTGTGTGTGTGTGTGTGTGTGTGTGTGTGTGTGTGTGTGTG